ATCCCGTATCCTCCTATTGTGCCCCTGCCTACTCGAATCATTGGTACCATTGCGCTGTTGACTGCCTCTTTTCTCCATGCACTCCTCAATGGCACATACCGCCGAATTCTTGTACCTCCCACCTCTCCTTCATTTCCCTTCCTCCTGAAAATCCCTTCGCTCCTTCCTAATCCTTCCACATCTTCTTCCCAAGCTGCCACATTGGGCCCAGCAGCTACTTGTTGGGTGGAAGCCACTTGTTGCTTGAGCAGAGTTGCACGTTGGCTTGGATCATCTTCCCCCCCTCTCCCTCCTTGCCCCCCTCCCCTTCCCCATTTCCTTTTTCCTCCAATCTCTCCCCTCCCACAACCACCCACTGCGACCATGCCCCACTCAATCCCCAGCGATGTGGGCGGCAACCACCTCAACGGCTCCCTTCCTGACTCCATCACCCGCCTTGCATCGCTGCAGCACCTGTGAGCCGCAAACAGCCCTCGTGAGCACAAGGAAGTTGTGAGGAAGCACGAAGGTTCTATGTTGACGCACCTTGTCTTCTAAGGCAAGGCTGTCAGCGTCAGGCAAGATAGCGGTTTTGCTGCATTTCTTCCTCAAAGTAAAAGTGTATTAAAGAAATTTCTAGAACACGATGCATGTGTGGCATGGCATGGCATGGCATGGCATGGCAGGGGGCTTGGACGCACCAACCTTAGTGGCCCCATACCTGCTGGCCTGGGCAGTCTCAACAACTGACGTCCCTGTGAGTAGGACAACCATTCCTTCTCCACACAAGCCTAAGGCTTCCATGTTTCCTGCTTGTGTCTCACTAGGACATGCCGTGTCCTCCTATTATGCCTGCCGGATTCGAATCAGTGGCATCACAGTGGTGTTAAAGCTTGAGGCCCAAATTGCAAAACTTAGTAAGCTTGGTGTGGAGGTGTGTGTGAAAACGAACTCGCGAAAGCAGGGTCATGTGTGGAGGTGTGTGCTAGAGAGCCGAACCTGAAAACCCCGTGGGTCAGCCTTACTGAACTTGTGCAATTTGTGCCTCGAGATTTAATTGGCCTCCTTTCTCCACGCACACCTCTGTGCTGTCTCATTCAATCTTGCCTCTCATGTAGAGTCTTAGCCTCATTCCATCCTGCAATCTTATACTCCGTATTCACATGTTTGTGTTGACACAACATGCATTAGCTGAAAATTTGTTCCGCATGCATTTTAATTACCAAGTGCAGTCGCATTTCCCATGGCTTTTACCTAATATTATTAACACGTAATCCTGTCTGAGGAGATGGGCATTTCAGAATTCTTGAGATCAATTCAAACTTGTTTGCGCGGACTAGATGCTCCGCTGACAGAAGCGCGCCGACTAGTTTCGATAGAAAATGTCTATTCAACAAGAAATTTACCAAGAGCCCGATTTGTCACTAAGCATCATGTGTATCACTCAAAGCAAATAACCTGGTAATTTCTTTGTTGTTGGCCAGATACTGCAAACATTTACAAACGGTTGAGCTCCACTCCTCCCACACATTAAAGTATCTCGTAGCACTTGTGCCAGACCTTTCCCTGTAGAAAGAAACATAAAACTTTATCTCGTGAATTTATATGAGTGTGTTTTTTCTCCTCCCTCCTCCCATCCTCTGCTCCCCCCCACTCGCCCCGCAGGGACGTCGCGGGCACGGGGCTGACCTGCCCTGCAGAGGGCAGCAAGTGTGTGGTGCAGCAGAGAAACACCACCAGCTTCTGCCGCCTCTGCTCCCCCTTCTGCTCCTCCTGTACATGTAAGTCTACAATTCGTGCGCACGCACAGACCGCACACGCGCACACGTGTGCATAAGAGCAATGCCACAACTACTCCGAACAAGCTTTCCAAAAACGGCTGGTTGGTGGGATAGGCATGCTTTGCAGAATATGATTCAACTCTGTCCAATCTATATCTGCGCCCACCTTCCTGTGTCAGCACCCAGCGAAGCACCAGCATCGGCTGAAGCACCAGCATCGGCTGAAGCACCAGCATCGGTTGCATCACCAACATCAGCTACAGCACCAGCATCAGTTTCAGCACCAGCATCAGTTGCAGCACCAGCATCAGTTGCAGCACCAGCATCAGTTTCAGCACCAGCATCAGTTATAGCACCAGCATCAGTTGCAGCATCAGCATCGGCTGCAACGCCCGCACCCAAGACCCCATCGGCATCTGCCCCTGGCACGTTCATTGCTGCTGCCATCAACCTCTCGAGTGCTGCTGCTGTTGCCACCCTCTCGCTCCTGATGCTTGGAGTGTGAAGCGTAGAGTTTTCACATCTTGTTTTGTATTTATTGTTGTGGGCGGATGAAATTTGGGTAACGTGACCCGATTCTGGAATGCGGTAGCATGCCCAGGCTTTGCTTTTATTACCTACATGGTGTAGCTCCTTCATACGGAAGTGTATTTCTGTAGCCAACTTCAGTCATGATGGAAAATGTTTGGGCTTCGTGGCTACCTTACAAGCAGGCCCTCAGAAGTCAGAGAACTTTGTCTGATTTGCTTGAAAAAGTCTGAGATTTCAGATTTTCTTTTGGGTGTACTCTGAGAAAATCAGTTTTTTTTTTGCCTCAACTCTGTAAAAATCAGATTTTTTTTACAGGCTGACTCTGAGATTTCAGATTTTTTCCGGGAGTGTACTCTGAGGAATTCAGAGTACAAATGAGTACCGACTCTGATTGAATGTACCTGTGCGCCGACACCCAGGATTAGCGGTGGTACATTGTACTTGTACCGTCAATCACGCGAAATCTGTGCCAACTGTCAAGTTCTGTGGGCGACGCCGCCTTGCGGCGCGATGTTTCCCTCGTACAGCTGGATGTTTCCCCCGCCCTGCGGCGCGATGTTTCCCTCGTACAGCTGGATGTTTCCCCCGCCCTGCGGCGCGATGTTTCCCTCGTACAGCTGGATGTTTCCCCCGCCCTGCGGCGCGATGTTTCCCTCGGTGTAAGCTCCAGCTCACACTATGTTAGAGCACTGATTGGTCCGTTTGGCACCTTTTGACTGCCATCACGAACTCCACCACCACCAGTGTCCAATATGCTGCAGCAGTTGCCACCCACGTAAAGGTGATGGCAAGCAGACGTTGCCAACAAGATCCGTTGGTCCCTTTGGCAGCATCGTGTACCAACACGAAACATTCCTCATAGTAGTGCTCGGCAGACGCGCCTCGTCGTTGCCGTGCATGCTAGGCAACCACCCACCAGAGGCATGGATGGCCCACAGTCAGTTATAGGGCCATCCTCTACGAGCTAGGGTTTCATCCCCATCCCTCAGCTCAGCTTCAACTCACTGGGCCCATCCACTGCCCAGTTCAGTAGCCTCAGAACCACCTCTCGTTCCTTCTCGGCAGGCTCTCTCAGATCCGCGCCATGGCTCAACCCGACAATCCCGCTACCTGCGATGACGGCGACCCTGATTCTCAGCCTGCGTTAGTCATAGATTTTCTGCTTAATCACCTAGCTCTCGAGAAGGCAGCACGCGCCGAGCCCGATTCTATCCCCACCTTGAAGGAACCTCCAGCACCCGTGATCTCAAATCCCGACCCTGTGGCAGAGACACCTTCGAAACCAACTGTCGTTTCGACATCGCACCATCCCACTCAGACCACAGCGCGAACCATCCGGCTCAAGCAGGCGACTTTGAGCTTCGCCAAGCCTTCGTCCTCGACCGCCAACGTCAACAATTCTCCCAGCTCGTCTGAGCGTCCACGTCCTCGCCTCACCATAAACCTGGCCGATCTCATTGAAGGGCTGTACGATGATGCAATTAACAAGTACAAGAGTCAGTGGCAAGCACGGTTGTTCTGGCTGCAAATCACCAAAACCACCTCCGGCTTGCCTACCTTCAACTGTACCGTTTGTGCAGCTTATGCTGGCAACGGAGGCAAGTGCGAGAGACGCGGGAAAGGCGCCACGGACTTGTAGACCCAGTCGTTTCGTAAGCACGCGGGCACGGCGAAGCACAAGCTGGCGATGGCGAGACAAACAGGAGTGCGGAGCGAGGCAGCTGCAGATCGACCAACATCGCACCACCATGACGGAGAGCAGTCGCGCGTTGTCGCCCTTCTCGAATCCCTGCTGTTCATCAGCATGTCCAATGCGCCGATGGGGATGTGGGTGAAGCTGGTGCGTTACCTGGCGGAGAAGGGCATGCCTAGCTTCCCGAAGAAGGGGTACGGCACCTACTACACCACGTGAGTGCAACTGCCAAAAGTTATTTAATGCACTTTGATGTGTCAATGTTTTATCCCGAGGATAATGATCTCACTATTGTTTCCATGTGCATGCAGCTACGGTTTCGCTGAGCTGACGCAAGCGACTGCGACAAGGCTCCAGACAACCCAGCTGGAACACGTGCTGGCGTTGCCCTTCGTCGGCATCGCGATTGACGAGAGCACGGATAGGTGCAGAGGGAAGCACCTGATCCTCTTCATCACTTTCATCTGTGACAACAAGCTTGTCACGGAGTTCATGGCGCTACTCACCGTGGAGAAGGCCGACGCAGCATCCCTTCTCGATGTTCTGTTGTCACATCTGTAGGCTGTCGGGGTCGACCTTCAGCGCATTGCGGGGATTAGCACCGACGGTGCCAACGTCATGATGGGCAGCAAGTCTGGCCTCACCACACGCCTCCGACCGCGCACCCCCCATCTGGTGTCTTCCCACTGTATCGCGCACAGGTATGTATTTATGTGTTTTCCCCTTAACTTGTTTTGCATCTTTTACGATTGTTTCCTTTCCCGATATACTAATGTTGTTTTCATCTTTTGTACAGGGAGGCACTCGCGGCTAAAACAGCGTCCGAGAAGATTCCGGCGTTCAATGTCATTGACACGGTGATTCGCATCGTGGCAGAGCATCTCGGCCGTTCGGGGCCGTGGCATCAACGGTTCATGGGCCTCCAGGAAGTCTTTGCGTCCACCTCTCTTGAGCTCCAGGGCATTCATTCCGTCCGATGGCTTTCGCGGGGCGACGCAGTCCTCAGGCTTGTCGCGATGCTTCCGGCACTCATCGTGATGCTGAAGGAGTGGGACGCGAACCTCTATGCTCTGATTATAATTTACAGGTTTCATTTCCTTCTCTTCTTCATTGCTGATGTGCTTGAGCAGCTCAACATCCTGAACCGGGCGTTCCAGCCCAAGGAGGTGAGTTTGGCCATAGTTTTCTGTTAATGTTTTGTTGTAGTCGCCATTCTGCTATGTTCCTGTATGTTAACCATCACCATCCATTAACTACCGTTTTTTTGTTTTCTGTCCAGCTTGACTATGCCAGCGTGCATGCGCAGATCAAGCGCACAACGTCCCACATCGAGAGCCGCTACGTTGATTGCGGCGACGACTTTGGTGGCGGCGTGAGCGAGATGCTGTCCCACTTCATCGCGCGCCATGGGCCAGGAGGAAACCGGGAGGTGAAAGTCGAAGGGATTGACTCGGACGGCCGTCCAGCACGCTTCAAATTCATGCTGCATGAGGATGAGCTGGAGGAGTTCGAAGGGCCCGGGACCCATGATGATTGTGTGGAACTCTGCACGGAGTTCGCGGAGGTGATCTTTCACCAACTTGAGCATCGGCTTGGTGACCTGGATGAGATGTCCGGGCTGTTCCTGCCAGACGAGTACCCGCTGGATCGGGCCGAGAGGAAACGGAGGTGCCTTCATTGCCTACAGTCTCTGGTCACTTTGTTCAAGGCCGACCTGGTGGAAGAGATCGTGCCAGGTAAGCCTTATGTGTGTAGTCTTTATATCATGTTGCGTCGTTGCTCTGTTTGTGTTCTGTGCGACGCTTCAACGAATGCATGTATTTGTTTACTCATTCTATTCTTTTGTTATCCTTTTCCCAACCCCGCCAGGAGTCAACAAGCACCGTGCAGAGAAGGAGCTGCGTATGTTTACCTCGGTGCTTGCAGCCTCTACCAAGGGCGAGCGCAGCTTCCACGCGGGGCTCACAGCCATGCTCAAGACACCGGACTGGCGGGACAACTACCCCAACCTTGTGCATTTGTGGGTGGCGGTAGCTGTACTGCCGCAGAGCACCGTGGAGTGCGAGCGGGGGTTCTCCAGGCAGAACATAATCAAGTCGTGGCAGAGAGGCTCGCTGAAGGATGCACGGCTGGGCGATCTCATGTGCATGAGCCTCATGGACTACGAGCCCAAGTGGGAGGAGATCGTGACAATCTGGAGGGCCTACAAGAAGCGCAAGCCCCACAGCAACGCTCCTCTCCCACCTGCAGGAAAGCAACAGATCAAGGCCAAGGAGGCAGATGAAGTGATGGAAGTAGAAGACATAGAGGAGGATACTGATGCATCTAATAGTGATGATGATGATGGATTTGATGAGTAGAATAATGAGTATGTAGGATAGGATCTATATAGCCCTAGTATTGGTGGGTAGGTAGGAAAATCTAGCTATTAATGCATCAGCAGTAGTATGTATGTAGGCCTGTCTAATGTAGTTCAACAACACCCTATACAACACACGGCTGAAATCAAACTCAGACTTCTCATCTCACTCGTGTTGTCTCTGAATGCTTGAGACTTTTTTTTTTAGACACTCTGAAGTTTCAGCCCTTTTTTTCAACCAACTCTGATCAAATCAGCTGAACACAGTGTACTAAGTCTGACAAATCAGACAGGCAAAAAACGAATCTGAGGGCCTGCTTACAAGCCCGCATAGGGACTATATTTATTGTGAATCAATTGGAGTACATGTTCACTGATGGTATGCAGTACAGGGATCTGCGTTACTTGGGTTTTGAAAATGACCCTCGGGTCACATCACACTCGCTTCAAGTCAAACACATTCGGTGCTTATTTTTTTCGGCACCCGATGTGGACATTCTTCGTTAACCAGGGTGTGAAGTAAAGAGAATTTTCTTCCCATCCTATTTCCGTGTCAATTCACGATTTGTCCTATTGGCACCGATTTGCATGCATACTGTCACAGTGACCTCATGGGCGTGGCTCTTAGTGGAAGTCCTCCTTGCAGCATTAGTCGCCTCACTGCACTCAAATTCCTGACCCAACCCCATCTCTTTCCTAGACCTCCCCCTTATCCTCTTCCATCCCCTCGCACTCCGCCCAACATGCAGGTGTGTTGGAATGCCTCAATTCTCCTTATTTCGATCCTTTAGTATACCTTAAAACAAACGATGACCCAATCAAGTAAGATTAATGGGGATAGCGTGGAGCTTTTGTGGACTGCTGCTGGATGCCATGGTGCATGACATGGTGCATATCGCAGTGATATTCGCAGGAGCTGTAGCTTGCGGTTAGTGGCACGTGTGTGTGCAGCTCGAGAAGCAGATGCTTGAGAGATGCTCTATGGAGCACTTGCAAATGCGATCCAAAACAGCTCTGTTCTCAAGGGCACAGTGCAGCTGGCCTTCCTATCTGGCGACACACCCACCAAGCCTTCGGCGTCAACTTCCTAGCACGCTGCTACCCGGGGACCATGAACTGCACCCTGTGGCCCCACATGCTCGCGGGCCCCAGGTTAGGCTTCTTGCCGGTCATCAATTGGTGCGGCGTCGTCCCCGACGGCAACATTGACGGCTCAAAGTAGTTGCGCACCAAGACGTACTGCCGCAAGGTGAGGTGCCACCGTGGTGCTGCACACCTATGTGCAGCAGCATCGTTCGTACGGACTGGACCACAGTTCGCATCTCTCGTTCCGCCATGCCATTCTGCTACGGGGTGTACGTGCAGGTCAAGGCGTGAAGGCTGCGGGGTGCCCTTCCCATCCACAAAGTCGATGAAGGCTCGTCCGAGGAACTCCCTTCAGCGATCAGAGCGCAGCGTCATTACTAACTTTCTTCGTCTGCCGCTCCACCACCGACAACCATTTTTTGAACTCCTGCAGCACGTCGGACTTCTTGGCGACCGGCTTCACTCACACGTAGCGGGTCTAGCGGTCCTTCAATAGTAGGAAGTACATGCTGCCATCTTTGGCGACCACCCGAAAAGGTCCGCACAAATCGATGTGCACGACGGCCAGGGCCTCGTCGGCGCCCGAGCCCTTTTCGAGGAAGGTGTGCCTTACCAACTTCCCACGGACGCAGGAAACACACGGCAAGTCGACCCCGGTTGACGACTTGATCTCCAGGTCGGTGGCGACTCCATGCTTCGCTAAGCTTGTGATGGTGTCGACGCAGACATGCAGGAGCATTACATGCCCACCTGTTCGGCATCGACTTCGTTGCCGAGGCAATAGTCCGCAGAGCCACCACCTCCGTCGACGCCGATGTCGACTTCGTTGAGCAGGGGCAAAGATCGGCGCAGAGGACCCGACCAGCCTACTTTGCTCGACCAAGCACGTCCCCAACCGTCAAGACAAGCAGCTTCACGCCGTTATCCTTAAGTTGGCCGGCTGACTGCAGGTTCGCCTGCACGCCTGGGACGTAGGGGGGAGATAGGGAGGGGGAGGGTGAGAGGGTGCGGAATCGTCCGCTTCTACCTCTCTACTCCTCCTCCTCCTCTCTCTGCCACTGACGTCCATTCTTCCGCTGGCGTACGTCCTGCATACCATCCATCTGCCTCTCCTCTGCTCGTCGTGCTCCCCCTCTTCTGACCAATCTGCTGCCGCCTTCAACCGTTCTCCATCCGACTCCGACGCTTCCCAGCTCCGGCTGCTCTAGCCTTCAGCATTCACACAGAGCACCCACTGTGGGGAATCTGTCAACGGGAGTTGTGTGTTGGCCCCGTCCTCGCTTGGGCGGAGCTGGCTTCGTAGTCGGGTGTGCGGGGAGCGCATTCAAGCAGCTGCAGTAGGCGACGCCGATTTGGGCGCGCAGGTCGACACGCTTGGTCGACCTGCACTGAGCCACTGCCACGCCGTTGACGACGGGGAGCCGGCGGCCGATTTCAACCGTGGTCGACGTGGTGGCACGTCGACCTAGGAAGGGCGCCAACCTCGGGAGGGGCGCCGACCATGGGGGGGGCGCCGACTTGGGAAGGCGCCTACCAGGCGAGGTCGACCTGGAGGACGCCGACTTAGTGACGCCGACCTGTGGGAGCCTGCTGGGTGCATTCGGTGACCAGCAGATCTGGTCGACCAGAAGTGGTCGACCTGAGGGAATGGTCGACGGGCACATGGAGCATCACCTGGTCGGCGTGGTTGCCCGGTCGACCAGGTTACCCGGCGACGAGTCCTGTGGAGGTGCGCGACGGTCGCCGAGGAGGTTGGCGACGGTCGCCGAGGAGGTTCTACCTTGGAGGTGGTATCCCGAGGTCAATGTGGCGGATCAGGTGCATTCGTGCACACGTGGTCGGCTTGGAGTATGCGCTGTACACGTGACGAGGCACAGCACGCCAACCAGCTGCGAGCACCTGCGAAGCGGGAGCGCTGCTGTCATGCGGGTGCAACACCGTGCAGCCACCTTGCTGCAGTGTTGGCACGCTATCGACTTGCAACGTTGGCAGGTCGCCACTTTGCACTGCTGGAGTGCGGTCAGCCTTGCTGCGCTGGAACGCAGTCGAACGTGCTGTGCTGGAGGTCGACCTGCATGCTTGCTAGCATCTGATGTAGTCCTTTGTTGCTTTGCTTGTTCACCTTATTGTTCTCAACTTGTGCTAGTGGAATTCTTGCCAATTCTGCCCGTGAATATGTGCGTAGAGAGAATATGAGCAACCGTGCCTTCCCCCATAGTCTAGCTCCCGTTGTAGTAGTATTCTCCGCATGGTGCGGTGAGCGTGGACAGCGCTGCAACTTACCTTCAGAGTAGTCGACCTAGGCCCGCATTACCTATTTCGTTCGTAAGCTGGCAGCCGTCTTAGTCGCCATCCCTCTTTGGCCAAACTTCCCTCTCCAAACCCTCTCAACCTACTTCTCGTAACTCTCGTTAACCATGGTCTTTCTTGAGCTACTAAGCTCTAGACTATAGTCCGTATTCTGGCAGCATCCGCGTGCATGTTGTTGAGGAGCGTATTGTTTGTGAATGCAGGGCACACATTGGCCCAGCACTTACGAGGCACACCAAATTTGGAATGGTTGGAGTGTTGCATCGGTGGCTTGTCAACCACGTCGCTGTCACTGGGCGGCCCCCCCATCAACAGCTCCCCTTCGTCGTCCTCGGCGGCTAGCAATTGAGTCGTCGGCTCAAATGAATCTGTTGCCAAGGAAACCCGAGTCTGCGCCAGTGCTGGCCCATGCTCCGCCTTCCAGACCTCCGACGACATGGTCTCGTAGATGATGGTCTTGACGGTGGTGACAGTTTGGTTATCAGTGAATTCAAGCAACCCCTAGATACTAAGAGATTCGACTCCGCGATAAGAGTGGAGCATCTTCACCGACCTGTGGTCTGCCACTACATCACCTTCATCCACTTCTCAAATACGCCAAGCATGTCGCTCGTCTTCGCGATCAGGCGGACCCACAAAAAGTGGATCTCGTGGTCTTTGAGTAGGAGGATATAGTGACTTCCATCCTTGGCGTGTCAGCACAATAAACGAGAATGAATTTGAACTAGCAGCAAGATGGGTACAAGTAGGAAACCCTAGTTGGGTTGTACACCATTGGGCTATCCCACTATAGCCTACACAATAAGCAGCATATAAGTTTGACACACCCCCATAGGCAAAGTGGGGGAGAACAAGAGGTCACAAGACCGGTCAAGAAAAGCAAAGCAAGCTTAGGGTAGATCACTAAGTCACCACGCATTCTGAGCACAAGCAAATGGCTACAAGGCCAGTTCACATGCAGAGTTATATAAAAGAGAACATGCAGTACAGTGATCACAACCTAGCAAGTGTAAGCATGCAGGTATAAGTATATAGATCACAGTACAAGCAAAGTCAAGAGGTGAGCAAGTGAGGCCAAGTAGGCACAAGGCCTAGAACAGTACAGAAACGCTGATGATCACAAGGCTGAAGTGCCTTGCTGAAGATATCAGCAGTGTTGGCCCGAGAGGCCACGTAAGCAAGACGAAGCTGTCCACGCTGCTGCAACTCTCGAGCAAGGAAGTAGCGCAGAGCGATGTGCTTCGTTCTGTGCTCCAGTCTGTGCTCCTGACACAAGGCAATCATGGCCTTGTTGTCAACGTACAGAACTGGAGGAGAACGAGGTGGCTCGCCCAAGTCAGTCAGCAGGTAGGTGAGCCAGCGTAACTCCTGTGCGGCCATGGCCCCTGCGTAGATCTCAGCCTCACAACTGGAACTGAGAACAGAAGACGAGCGGGTAGACCGCCAAGAAACAGAGCCAGAACCAGGGCTGAAGGAGTAACCCTGTGACGACCGCTGCGTAGCCAAGTCGTCAACCCAAGAAGTGTCTGCGTGACCAGTGAGGACAACTTGAGCCCGTCCTCCAAGCACGAGCCCCATGCCCGACGTACTGCACAAGTAGCGCAT